TTTTTGTTATTTGTTGAATTCGGTGTAGTCCCAAGCTTAGCTTTTGTGATTATCCATTTATTGTTTATGTTCAGGTAAGCTAACTTGTGCCTGTAATCTGCTTCTTACTCTACAGATGATACAATAACCGTTGATGCTAAAAATTCCTCCGAGAGTATTGGGAGTACAACTACTAAGGCTATGTTTGGTAAACCAAATAAGCTAGCTTATAGCTTATTTGGTTAGCTTATAAGTTTCTTGTATTCAAATAAGCCCCGTTTGGTAGGACGAGCTTATTTAAAAAGCTCGAGCTTATTTGATAAGCTTGTTTAGGTAGCTTTTCAAATAAGCTAGTTGAATTTTTTATTCCAACTAGCTTATCAACTAATTTTACCAAACACTTTTATCATATAAGCTAGCTTTTCAGCTATAAGTCATAAGCTATAAGCTATAAGCTTGAAAATTACATATAAGCTATAAGCTAGCTTATCAGCTATCAGCTAGCTTATCAGCTAGTTTTACCAAACATACCCTAAAAGCCGCCAAGATGTAACAGCTGAAGGTAAATCAAAACTAGACTAGACATGGTCTTGTTTAAGAGAACAATTGTTAGATTTGGAGAAATTCGGTTCAATATTTAGCTCGAGTATTATTGTATATTATTATGTGCTTAGATGATATTATATTGTTGTGAATTAGCTCGATTTTATTTATCGTTTGTCTTATCGTTCGGAGAAATACGGTCCAATCACGTATATTAACGTCGATCCGTACCCGTTATTTTATCGAACTTTTGCCTCGGTCTTGGAACCATTATCTCCAGCCCTTGGTTTTTCTTAAGTATTTGTAATTCAGTTTAATTCTCCTGTTAGCACCTTTGACATCCCAGTTTGCAAACCAATATACGCTGCAGCATACATTAAGAGCACCAACTATGCATTAGGTCTAATTTTACATATGTGGCATATAAATAGACTTAAGTCCTAAATGACATGGACAAACCTAAGTAAAAAAAACTCAAAAGCTATTCAATGCAAAAATAAAATACTAGGTCTAGCATATATGCCAACCAATAAAAATGCTCTAATATGTTTCATTTATTAAAAGAAAATTTAAATGAGGAATAAATGATGAGTGTTTGGGTTTGTACTTGGGTCCACAATAGATCCAAGTGTGAGTTTGGTCTCTTGTTTTTATTGCCACATAAGCTAGACCATGTCCACCTTTAATTGCATTGGGAGACATTTTTTAATAGACTAAGTCTATTTCCTATGTGGCATAAGATATTTTATTAAAAGACTCAATGCATAGTGGGTGCTCTAAGAAAGTATTAGTTAGAGAATAACAATGGAATTATCATAAAACTTTATATTATCCTTCTAGAATAGGAACATTTACATAATATTAGCACTTAGACCGTCAATGATATCTATAACAAGCAAAGTTGAAAAACAGGGTAACCATATTGCAATTGATACTATAGTTTAAAACTAACATCTTAGTTAACATAAAAAACAACTAAGTAAATGTAGAACAATCAAAAAACATGTAAACAAGTATATCATAATCTTTTCATTAGTATTATCAAAGGATATAGTATATATATATCTACAACATAATGTAACCTAAAGCTCAGACTTAGAACAAGGAATTTCATTCATAAAACAATTTAGCATTTTAGAAATTTCCAATCATATTGTTTGAACGATAATAATAAGAAAATCATTACACAGGATTATGAACTATAACCAAATGTGAGGAAGTAATTCTTACCTTAATAAATTCTGGGAGCTCTAATGTGTGAGAATAGATTGCATTTCAAAATTGTTTAATAAATTAAAAAAAAAAAACTAAAAAAACATAAATCATTTAAAATATTATGACATAATTCAAAATCTTATTTTCAAACTACAGTTAAATTGTGTAAACCAATTTGCTATTAGGTAAACCAATGACTTCCTTTCCGGCTTTCATATTTTTTTATCATATTTTTAAGGATGTCGAGTTGAATCGATAAATTACACCAGATCCGTCATTAATACAACAACATAAAATTGTTGAAAACAATTTGTTAAAGAGGAAAAACGTATTATTCCTTTTCGGCTTTCATATTTTTCGATCATAATTAAAAGGATGTCGAGTTGGATCAAAAAATTAGACCAGATCTAGCAAAAATAAAACCAAAAACAACATAAAATTGTCGAAAAACAAATTACTTCTTCTCGATTTCATATTTTTCGATCATAATTTAAAGGATCTCGAGTTGAATCGGTAAATAAGACCAAATCCATCAATAATCGAACAAAGTCAACATAAAATTGTCGAAAAACGAATGACTTCCTTTCCGGCTTCATATTTCCCGACTTCAAATCGAAAAATAGACTAGATCCGTAAATAAAACATGCTGAATCACATCGGATTTTCATTTTTCCTTCAAAATCGATCTCAGATCATTAAAGAAATAACAATAACGTAAACAAGTAATTTACTTCCTTTCTGGTTTCATATTTTTCGACTTCAAATCGAAAAAATCGACCAGATCCGTAAATAAAACATGAAACCGTCTTCTCGAATTTCCATTTGTTCTTCATAATCGGAGAAACGCGTGTCGGGGAAGAGAAAAAATTAACTGAAACCCTACATTATCGGATTTTTTTGCCTTTTATAGTTGCAAACTTTGCTTGAGGTCCGTTAGATCGATTAAACAAATGTAGACCGTTCGACCTTTGTTTACTTTGTATACCCAATTAACATAACTTGCTTGGGCCAAAATCGTTACGTAATTAATTGGAATTGGTTTGTTAAAATTTAGGCCCAATTCCAATTGATTTAATTGTTAACTTTTCCAATTTGTCACAACCCATGTTTTTTTGGGCTAAGAAAAATTATATTAATGGGCTTAGTATATATGTTATGGACAATACTCCTATACTTTATATATTTTACTATTTATCCAATTAAACAAAATTTTTTATAGTCAATATAACTTATTATTATTATTAATCATCATGTTAATTCTTTTGCCTTATAATTGTAGATAACTAGCACCCTCTCGCTGTGCGATGCACAGCCGGCCCCCCTAGTTCATTGCGGTTCGTCAGTATTTCAAATAAATAATGATCTCATGAATTACTAATAATAAGTTGCGAAAAATATGGTCTAATGTGGGAGTTGTAGGAGGT